CACTTAAACTAAACAATGATCATCAAATATTTAACGAATTTTTAACAGTATTTGCAAATTACATTCAAATCACCCAGAGCAAATGGATTTTTCTATGGGGCGGTGCCTCACGTTGGGAATTACTAGTCTAGGAGTCCAATTTTTTTAACTACTACCAGGTTAATTTAATCTACTATCAATAATTGAGTGATCATCAATTCCACAGCACCTTCATCAGATTTTTAAAAGATCAAAGTTTCTATGAATATGCATACAAATCTCAAATTGTAGGCCGAAATTTAGACAATGAGTCTATTGAAATATCAGGGTAACTCTTTTGCTATAAATTGTCAACTAATTTATAAATGTCAATAAAACAATGATTAATTACCAATAAATGTTGGATTGTAAAAATTTACAAGCGATCGAACGGCTTATATTTTTGCCTTAGGTGGCAAAAAATTCATCCAATTATTAAAATATTACATTTTTTTGCAGTTCTTATGCTTTTGTATTTATAGAATTGCTTTTTTCGCTACAATCAATTTCCATTATACGAATGTCTTAAATTATTTATTTTACTCGACTAACGCCCGCTATGTCCGAAACAAGTCCAAAGTAACATATGTGAAATTTGAAATACACTACTGTATTGTAATTAATATTGCAGTTCATACACTTCAATTTGTAACTAAATTAAAAACGACTCTGATAAAACCAGTGGTGCTGTGCTAATATTTTTTGTCGGAACGCTAAAATTTATAAACTGGTTCTTAAACCGGTTCTCATGTTTTTTCCGGTTCCTTTCGAAAAGGAAAAAAACAAAAATTATTACAAAACCCATTGTGTGCATATATATGTATTTTTATTACAATAATAAGAACATTTAATAAAAATTAGTTGAATAATAATTTATAAAATTTACTTATTAAATCATTTTCTGTATGTAGCGATTTTTTTATATTTTTTCTTGCCGGAACGCGTTCCTTCCCAAAAATGATTTACCGGAACGACGTTATTATCGTTATTATCGTATCGTAACGAATATTAATTCTGTACGTTTAAACATTAAATATGTAAAAAAACATAAGCACACAAACAAAACATTACAAATTTAAGTCGGAATTTAAAATAAAAAAACAATTTTATGAGCCAAAATGCATAATCATTTTATATATACTAGGCAGAAAATATCCCAGGTATGATATGCAAAATCCTTTTTCGGAAAAAAAATGCCGATTATTATGAAACTTTTTTTGACGATATATATCATGGCTTTATAAAATATCCTAAAATATTACGGCTCTACAACAAATGATTTAATTTTAAAAATTCATCAAAGTTTGAAAAAATATGTTTGTGTTAAAGATCGCTTTTGTAATGTGATAAGTTAATCAAGTCAATTAGAAATTGTTTTCGAATTAGCAAAAAAGTAAATGAACAGTCTACAAAACTTCTCTAGTTTTGTAAAAAATGTTACCATTTATTTAAATCATTAAATAATGTCTAATGTACATGATTTACCTAATCGTGACAGTATTTTCTTATAGCTGGTGCTTAATATTTCACAAAATAATTTCAGTTTTTTTCAATATTTCGACATTGTTCATGAACGAAAACTAAACTACATGCAACTAATCAGTCTTACGAAAATTGGTTGAATTATATTAATCAATTTTGGAACAATAAGCTACAACTTTAGGACATACAGACACACTTTTCTGTACGCTATAATTAATATAATCACAGATAATTTAAATGTGTTTGAGAAAATTCAATTTGAAATCGAATGATTAGATTTAATTGAAAGCAAAAACTTGATTTTCGAAATAAATGAAAATATTATCTGAATATCTAAATCTGAATTTTGGTTGATTAAGTCAATTATTACACCTATCGGGAAGATTTTGCAACTTGCTTTACGGCAAAATGCTACTTTCAACTAGTTATTTCTGATTTTTTTAATTCACATGTTACATCATCATTAACTAATTTAAATATTCTCATCAATGTAACGTTGTTGAATTTTTTTTAATTACAATATATATATATGTTACAACTGATAAACAGTATAACATCTAGTAACATTAATGAACGATAACATAAATATAAATAAAATAGAGTACAAAATAAAGGATTGTATTTTCATTAAAATTATATCCGTATTAATATGATTTAATATAAAATAAAAGCAAATAATAATAATAATAAAATTAATTAATGAAATAAATAAAAAAAGTGAATAATAAAAATAATACTAGAAAAACAATAAGTGACAAATAATAATAAATATAACTATATAACAATATTAGAAATAATAAGATAATAATAATAAGATAATAATATAATAATAATATTATTATAATTGTTGAATGTTAAATTATTTTATTATAAAAAATTCTGGTAAAAATGAACTCATTAATTCCTGAAGTCGGTGTATTTTGTAATTCATTGTATGGTATAAGTAGTTTTTTCTTGTCTAAAAATAAAATGGAATAAATATCAAGTAAAATATATTTACTACATATATACCTTTTCGCCGTAGCTGTAATTCTAGTTTGTATTCATGTATGCCCTCCCTTTAATAAAAGTTAAATAATAACTGTTGCTCAGCAGCCGTGTGAAACTCACGCGTGAAGTTCAAACTTTGTTTGGAAATAATTTTACGTTGTGAATAACTATTTGCATATTTTTATGTGCATGAATACATTTTCTAATAAATAAATTTTTCCGTGTTGACATTTTTATATCATATTATATAACCATTTTGTTATGAATTATATTAGATGCACACTTTTGGTATAAAATTTTTCGCTATTTCACAAAATAATATATTTTATTATAATAATAAATATAATAAATATAAAAATAAATAAATTGTTAAATATGAATATAATGCATTTCATAAGCTACATGAATTTCAGTCTACATAAATTCAGTTACGTTAATATAATTGTGGACCAACAATATTTGATTTTGTCTTATATTTTGTAAATAATTTTGAATCAAAGTTAACGAAATATTGATTACAAGTGATAGAAAATGACCCTTAAGTATAATAAAGTAAACCATTACAAAATGATTAATAATAATATATGAAAAATATATTAAATATCGTTTTGTGTAACATGTCATAGCAATATCTTCAACCAAATGCAGCATTACTAAAATATGAACGTAGTTATCAATACATTATTATTTTAATTAAATTTCTGGAGAATATTAACAGTTAATAATAAAACAAATGCAAAATAAGTACTTATTAATTATATTATTAAGTTTTTATAATTTAATGTAAGAATGTATTCTACTTTAGCAGAGGCAATATTAGACAAGAGTCATGGTTAAAGTAAATTTCAGTAAGTCGTTTTATTACTTGTAGAAAAACTACTTATTAAAATAGTATTGCAAGAAATTTTAAGTCAATTCCAATTAAAAAGAAATTAGTTGCCAATAAATTAAATTATCTACAACCACCATATAAAAAAGTAAATAAAATATGCATGTAAAATATGTCGAATTTTAGTGAATTTATATGTTAACCATGCCGATCTCGAAGAATTTAATATCAAATAACAAAAAAATATTGCAGCAAAAGACACTGATATATTAATAAAGTAAATTGATTATATAAAGTTAGAATTAACCACTGATTATAATTATACTTGTGCGTCATGTAATTTTTATTAAAAAATTAGAATCAGTTTTTACCTGATATTTCGTATTTAGCTATTTGAATAGACTTTATATACTAGTCAAATATTCCAAGAATCATACTGCGTTAATAATTTTTTATGAATAAATTAGCTATATAAAATACTAAATAAGCAATAATTATAACTATCATTTACAAAAATGATCAAAACAAAATTAGAATGGGGAGAATGTTTTCACTAAAATCTTAAATATTTAATAGATTATTTGAAGATTGTAAAATGGATGAATTTAAGAAAAAACTAGTGGGGTGTATGGTATCGTGCCTTAAAGCAAATTGCTGGAACTTCTTGTACCGTAACGAAATGTTCGAAAAATATTGAATGTTTTCAAATAGATTATTATAAATATTGTAACATTGTCTAATATTTATAAGAATTATATAAACTGAATTGCAAAGTAAAACATATTTGTTTAAAGTACATTAGAACTTTAGTCAGAATTACGATTAAAATCTGAATTATTTTCGATATACAAAAAAAAAAATTTTTTTGAAAAAAAAAATTGAAAAAAAAAACTTAAACAATTTTTTTTTCCCAAATCAATTATTTTGTTAAAACAAGCAGGAAGTTCTTTGAATCATTCAAATCCGACGCTTAGTTCTGTCAAAAACTGCCATTTTTTCCATATTTGGCTCTGTATCTCCGAAATGGCTAAGCCTGCCGTTTCCAAAAACTAATAACCACTTCTCCCAATCATTATTAATTGAATGTCTTTTAGATCATTCAAATCGGATGCTCCGTTCTTTCAAAAACTCGATTTGTATTTTCTGCACTTTTTGAACCTGCTGAACCTGCCTTTGCCAAAAACTCTTTCTAACAATAGGAATCAAATGTTTTTTGAACCATTCAAATCGGTTGATCCAAACGCCCGAAAACGTGGACGAAAAATTGTATCCATACATACATACACACACACATCCATTTTTTCTGAGGTGTGCCAAAATGTTCAGAAACCTTCAAAACGTCGAGAAATGTAAAAATTTTCAATTTCGATTTTCGGACCATTACAATAACTTACCCTACGGGAAGTTAAAATATCTTTTGAGGCACGGTCAAAAATAGTCTAATAACACGTGTAGCACTGTAAATATTAGAGCAGGGTTGCATTTTCTTGAAAATAATATTTTTTAGGATATCAATCAGGTGGATGTAATCACTGATCAGATCCGAAAAACATGATTATAGAAACGATTGGCCAGCTAAATTAATTATTAAATGATAACTATAATAATCTACATCAATAAATACGTATTTCATTGTATTGTTTCGAAAACATTTTTATCATATTATGTTTTATTTTTTTAGCCTTTAGCCTTACGTATGGGCTTAGATACAAGTACGCCGACCACATTGTGGAAGGACCGAGCTTTGGTCGAAATGAATGCTGCAGTTTTGCACAGTTTTCAACAAAGTGGTGTAACAATTGTAGACCATCATACTGCATCAGATAGTTTTATGAAACATTGTGAAAATGAACAACGTTTAAGGTCAGTAATAACAACTTAATAATTACTATGTATCCAACATTCAAATATCCATTTCAAATCCTCAAAAAGAAAACATTATCAATAACAATATTAAAATAATTGATACTTATTATTGGATTGAATTTTAAGTACTAGTAAAAATTTATTTTTAGATCGGGTTGTCCAGCAGATTGGGTATGGATTGTTCCACCGATGTCTGGATCTGTGACACCAGTATTTCATCAGGAAATGGCTTTGTATTTCTTGAGCCCTTCTTATGAATATCAAGTAAGAAATTAAAAAAATTTAAGCACTATACTGTAATAGCAGAAGTTCAAATTTCTGAATGGTTTATTATTAAAAAAATGATAAAAGTTGTTGAACCGTTATACGAGAATTGGTACGTTTGCAATAAATTTAAGTGCATGGTTTCATATATAATTTATCAAAAATGTAAATACTTTATTTCACATGAATGACTTGTAAATTGGTCCAGAAAATAATTATCAAAAAGTGGCAATAAGTAATTATGCACTTACATATCATAAACTTCACCTAATTTTTAAGGGCGAATGCACTGATTTTGACAGAATGACCATCACCAATCGGATAAAATTTTTATATATTATAGAATATTTTATTATTATTATAAAAGTTTAAGTAAATTTTACAAAAATTATCATATAAAAGAGATTGCTATATTGTCAAAATATACTTGTTAGAACTAATTAAAATTCATATTTTAGAAAAAGTTTATTAATTTAACACAATATTTTGTTAACTAATTTAATTACTTCCATAAATAGATAAATATTGGTTAGGCTAATATACCGATAACTATACTATATTTTAGAATATACTGGATAAAAATGATTAAATTTTTTAGAAATGCATAACTCAAGTATTACTGAAATAAATAAAAATTCATCAAGTGTGACTCTGGCACAAACTACTTGCAAAATTGATAATGCACAAGCATAAAAATTACCGATAATTAGAGTATGAAAGGGAACCCGAAATTCATCAAACAGCCATGGCATACTGATCTTATCAATAAATAATAAGAGGCCAATTCTTGTATAAAACAGCTATGTTATATTATTACATGACGTGGTAGTCACAAACTCTCAAAAAGCTATGTCTTTGCTATTCGATCGAAAGTTTTAGACAACATTAACTTTTAACACCTAACCTTCAAATGGCACAAACTTAAAATTTTAGGATAATAAATAATAAAATATAAGACAACAGAATGTTGCATTTATGATAACATATATGTGAAGTCAAGCTAATGTTATATCCAGTGGTGTTGTCGAGCCGGAACGCGCCGGAACGTCGTTCCGGCAAATCATTTTTGAGCCGGAACGCGTTCCGGCAAGAAAAAATATAAAAACATCGCTACATACAGAAAATGATTTAATAAGTAAATTTTATACGTTATTATTCAACTAATTTTTATTAAATGTTATTATTGTAATAAACATACATATATGTGCACGAAATGGGTTTTGTAATAATTTTTGTTTCTTTCCTTTTTGAACGGAACTGGAAAAACATGAAAATCGGTTTTAGAACCGGTTTTTAAATTTTAGCGTTCCGGCAAAAAAATATTAGCACAAAACCACTGGTTTTATCAAAGTCGTTTTTAATTTAGTAACAAATTGAGGTGTATGAACTTCTTATAGAAAAAATAATATTTATAAATTAAATCTTACATTCATTCGCATTTCTTATACGCTAACATCTACATCATAGGTTTCTATTCATGTATTTTTATAGCCTTACGTGTGCCTATACGTTGCATTCTATACTACACGCCTTACATCTATAGTTAAGATGCGCGACTTCCACGCGGAGGTCCCGGGTTCAATTCCCGGTATAGGCAATAGATAGGTAGAGATAATACATAGGGCGTAAGGTTAAACCTATGTAATATAGGTGAATATATAAAGTAAGAAGTAAAAGGTCTGTAGGTATATAATAAGTTAATGACGGTATAGGTATCTCACGGTATGATAGATAATAGATATCTATATATGATATACAATAATATATAATAGTATAGTATGATAGGTAATAGATTATCTATCATATTACTAAGATAAGTCTTATAAAGTATTGTAATAAATCTTGAGTACGTTTATATCATAATAAATACATGTAGGTATTAATGAATACAAATAATACCAGAATAAATATGATTAATGTCATTGAAGAATATAAATTATGTACTCAATGATTCCCTCATACTTGTACAATTTAATGTATAGACTAGCTGTGTATAATAGAGTTAATTATATAAAAAGTCAATATATTAGATTTGTGAGTTCTTATCGAAATATATCAAATTTTTTGAACCGGTTTATGAACCGGATTTTAAATTTTAGCGTTCCGGCAAAAAAAATATTAGCACAACACCACTGGTTATATCTGATATTTGTGCCATTTGGAGGTGAGGTTTTAGAAGTTAATATTATGTAAGACGCTCTAACTGATAGCAAAGACAACTCATGCAATTTTTCGGGAAGAGACTGGTAACATAACATAGCTATTTTATCCAAGAATTGGTTCCTAAAGCTCTTGGTAATTCGAAGATAATAAAATAATTCTTGTTTTATAATCTTTTTATAACTTACCATATGCACTATGATATAGATGGTTAAAATGAGTTATTATATGTACTTGCTAAAAATCATTTAAATTTTTGAGTATATTTAAAAAAATACAAAACTTAAGTTTTGTTGAAATATATGCTCATATAAATAAAATTGTTATTTTTTCTACTCAGTATAGTTACTTAAATATGATTTATTTATTTAATTACACTAAGTAACTAATTAATTAATAGTGATGCTATGACACGAATGTATTAAAATATAATTAAAATTCTTATAATATGTTTTTAAAAATGCATAGTTAAAGGTTTACTGAAATAATTGCTTAACTGTTTACTTTCAGGAAGCAGCCTGGAAAACTCACGTCTGGAAAAAAGGACGCGAAGGACGAGGCACGAGACCCAGTAGAAAATTTCATTTCAAACAAATTGCGAGGTAAAGCCTCTATTTCATTATTTACTTTCATTCTGGCAGTGTATATTATTATCCTTGTCAATGCTAATCCTGCAACCATCTATCTGTGTAAATATGCACGTAGGAATGAATGAATCGTGTTATTTCTACTGATCTACCCTTCATTATTGCTAATAACATTTTATGAAGTCTTTTTATGTGGTTTTCCAGCATACCCGGCTGTAATTTTTTTATGTGGATTTCTAATACATTGCGTTGCCTTTTTTGATAATGTTTCTTCTTGGTTCAAGATTTTTTGTTTCCTTACCATGATTAATTATTGTTTACGTTTATCTGTTGTATAACAAACGATGTTTGGTTTTTTGTTACGTTTTTGTTTTTGTTAAAACACGCGTTAATTGTAAGATGATACTCTCGATCAGTGGCAATAAAAGTTTGGGTCGCGAAAAATAAAATCAAATATGGAGAAATAAAGCATTGTAAATAGTTTCATTATTCAAAAACCTTTGGGGTCACAGTACTGTTAACTAGTAAGAGTTAAAACTAATGAAAAATTATTTATTAAAAATAATAATAACCATTTAAAAGTTATTAGTAGACAAAAGTTGCTTTTATTGTGCTTTTTTCAAAATAAATCATTTTTAATAAGTTCAGAACAATTTTTTTTGTCCTATATATTAAAATTAAAAGAGGTTAAATCTTGTATTTCTGGTAATTGCAAATATATTTTTAGAATGTTTTACCATATTTGTTATTTTTTACCCCGTCTATGGAGTAAAGCGAAAACTTTTAGAAAAATTGCAAAAAAAACATATTTCTTCACTATTTTGATCACAGCAATTTGAATTTTAATTTTTGCCAAATAATTTCAATAACGTAACCTTTATTTTATTACAATACTTAATGCCTATTGTGTCGGATTATTTAAAATTTATTTAAATATTCGATGCCATTTTTATACTATAGCAATATGTTTCCAAGTAAAAATAGCCCTTGCCCGGAATTGCTGCACCAATAAAATGTCAGCCCTATTAGATTAATTCTAATAACAAAAAAATCATCAAACATGGATGGATTAACCATTGGGTTATCATCTAAAAAACACGAAGTAAGGAGAAGTTTCAGCCCAACAGCTCATAGGACATAAGGTTCTGATTGCTGTTCAAAAATAATAATAAAAAAAAAATATACTAAACTTAATTGTTTTATAAATTCTTGATATATATTTACTCTTCAAATCTCTTGCAATATTTTTTAACTTCTATTTCAATTGTAGTATGATATTCATGACCGATTTGGCCGTATAAAAGACCAGTGTTATGGGAAGGCTATGTTATGTAGAACTTTCTATACGAAATCGAAGAAAGAAGCCATGAAGTTGCTGTGCAGTCAGGCGTTTTTTTTTCAAGTTGTCAGATAGAAAAGCCAACCTAGAAGCCGCACAAATGTCAAAATAAACAATCTTAGATAACAGGGTCTTTCTGACCAAGCTTCATAACATACAAGTGGCGTTGCAGTTTATGTGTAAAACGCATGAATGCACAGAAAATACATGAGATTTTGACAGTATTTTGTATAATTTAGTAGCATAATGTATGCAAGTTGAAGCGTAACATGGCCTTGCCTTAATATTTGTCTGTTGTGCGGCAGAATCAATATTCATTTAATGAAATCAATAATCTAACCCTTCTCGTATTATTCTAAAAATTACTTATAATATTAAGTGCATTTTATTTAAACAAAAAAATCATAATTTTTGAATATATAATTTCACTGAAAATCTTTTATACTATTTATCTTGTTTTTTCTATTACTTATTGCTGTTAACTTTTCTAGTTTGATTGTCGCGTACATTTTCAATTTTCGTTCAATAAATTTAATATATAACCAATATTTTACAGCTATACTTCAAATGCTATCATGTTGTATTATTCCACACTTACTTATAATATTCGATACAATTTTATATTTCCAGGGCCGTTAAATTTACGTCGAAATTGTTTGGGCATGCTTTATCGCGGCGAATCAAGGCGACCGTATTATTCGCCACGGAAACCGGAAAATCGGAAAACTACGCAAGAAAACTTGCTGACATCTTTGGGCATGCGTTCAATGCACAGGTGAGTTCAATTATTTTTAATAAAAGAAAAACTTTCACAATTGTATTTAAACACCTGGTGCGTGTTATAAATTAACTAGAAAGTTTACCTGCGTATACAAAGTTATTTTATGTAACTGGTTAAAATTAGATAAGAATAACTAGTTATGTAAAATTATTTCTACTTGTTACTATTTCTGGGATATATTATTTCACATAAACATACGACGTGTAAAAATTGTGTTGTAACTAAAATTCTAAATGTTTTCCTTCCGTGGTGTAGTGGTTGAAATAGTGGTCTACTCCCGACCTCCACCACTCAGCTCGATAGCAAGCAGTATAATATCAAATTTTCATTTGAGGTTATAGATCTCAAATCTAATTTGTGTGTCGTGAACATTGCAGTATCATATATATTCATCATCATCACTATTAGATAGAGTTGCCGTGGTCTCGTTATAACAGTTTTTTGAATAAATTAATATATCTTGAGTTCCACTGATTATATTTCTACGGAATAAAGATCGATAGATGCTGTAATTATTCTTTTACCGATCCAAAGAATAATAATTCTCAAACTCATTTTGTTTATTATTTCACATTACAATTTCTAGAAAATGTGAGGTGTTACAACTTGGCAAATCTTGCCGTTTAAATTTACTCTGCCTATAGAATAAAGAGGTTACAAATTAAAAAAAAAAAACAAAAAAGGCACATTTTTAGAATGATGCTCTTGCTGGGATTGAATTTGCTGAACATAGTCAGATAGTTATTTGATTGATACGTTTTATTTGTTATGATATAATTGTTTTGGGTTTCACAACATAATTGGTCAAATAAAATATATAACGTCTCTTGTAACATAAATTTTATCATAAACTACAATTAACTCTTTGGGGACGGCAATTAACTACTGAGTGGACAAACATTCTCTGTGAGGCACAGGCTATTTTATAAACAATGACTCAGTTTGCATCGAAAAGTTGAATAAATTGCATATAGCAGTGATAAACAGTATTGTAGTTTGAAAATAATTGTAGGTTATTTTAGTAGTATTTTTAGCCTTTTTCTTTGCTATATAGTCTTTTTTTTAATATTTAAAACGACCGAACGCCCTTAAATATGGCAAAACGACTGGTAAATTTTGTGAGTTAAGCAGTAGTAAAGATGAGTTTCAAATAGACATACAGACAAATTTTACGAAATTACTATTCGCACCGAAGATATTCATGAATGTGATGATGATATTATCCAACTAACAAAAAGAAGAAGTTCGACAAATTAAATGAAGAGCGGAAAGACATTAGCGAATGTGCCGATTCTCCTTTAATAATCGAGTTTGACAACAAACACCCCGACTACAAATACCAAGCAATATAAGAAATCCAATAGAATATTTTGCTTTATATTTTACAAATGAATTATTAGACAATAGAATAGAAAAAACAAACCATTATGACAACACAAAAATGAACAAATATACTAAATAATCAGTGGCATATTCTAAATGCGAGTGGAAGTAAGAGGGATTGTATTGTCTGTTCTGACAAAAAAGCACTAGAAGGAAGGTGGCAAACAACATTTTATTGTAAAACATTCAAAATCAACCAGCTATGCATTTTGAAAATTGTTTTGAACGTCACCATTCTTTATAAAATGATCAAAAATAAATTAATATTATAAATGTATGTCCTTCAATGACCTATAACATGCACAATGAAATCAAGTTTACAGCTGGTGCATAGATAGTTTTGAAATCGGTGCCGTCTCGTAAGTGTTAATATCATAATACAAATAAGAGACTTAGACCTCTTCCAACACAATTTACATGTGCCCACATCATTCCATTGAATCTTTTTCACTTAAATCTATATATAATTCTTGTATGTTACAACTAGCACCAAGGTTTTGTTTCAACTAACCCCAGATGTAATTTTTTTACATAAATTAAGATAACTATTTAAACAATTTAGCTTTCACATAAATTGTAACATGTCCAAGTTGGAAAGAAATTTAGATATATCATATTTAAAATTAGTCGATAACAGTAACGCGAACCGAAATTTTGTGATAGAGTACAATTTTATGTTACTTGTCAATAATGAGGCACCTGCACACTTCTGTTAGTTATATATATATATATATATATATATATATATGCGTGTATGTGCATGTAATAAAATATATAAGCTTTACTGTAGTTCGTTACCAACTATTAATATGTTACATATTGAAAATATATAAAGTTAGTCGCACGCAGAAACATGTGCATTTCTAAACTTTTCAAATTGAAGTAAATTATTTTGTATAACGAAGTAATTTCCAACTTTGGTAATAAATGAATCACATTTCATTACATCGAGAAATCCAGATAATTAAGTTCGAGAACTTGTTGGGAATACTTTATTACAATTTAAAACTATATCTATAATAATGCATTTGTTGATTGCATTCTGTATTACATTACTTATGAAAATATTTATGCTAATGGATGTATATATATTCATATATCATGATTTTATACTTAATGTTACTTGTGCGTTATGAAATAATTTCTTTTGAATAATTTTATTTCTTTATTCTTCAACAAATTCCCAGCATCATTTATTGCTCTAATATTATTTATTTCAAGAATGATAATTATTATTCATTCAAGAATGAGCAAGATATTTTTTATATTTGTGTTCGAAGTAATTATTACAATAATTGAGAATTTTAAAATTTCAAATTTGTCTTAAATAATTTGAATAATTAACATATTCTTGCAGGTAGTTCGTATGGATGAGTATGATATAACATCGATTGAACACGAAGGATTATTACTAGTTGTAAGTTCAACATTTGGCAATGGAGATCCACCAGAAAATGGAGAGGTAATCTTATATTATAATTAAAAATATAAATTTTATTAAATTCGTATCGTTATCTTTACAAACAACCTTAATATCTTGTTGAAAGCAGTATTTTTCATAACAATAATAATATTTTATTTAATATTGATCAACATATAATTATCTCTCTTAACTTGAAATCTAATATTTATATATTTATTACATATATTGACATCTCAAAAATATTTTTTCTCGATGTCACCGATATTCAATACAATGTGGCTTATATTTTTCTTCCGGATACCAATGGTGTTATTTTCTCAATTAGAACTTTATTTTATGAACTATATTTATATATTCTTATGGTACGTTTTGAGAATATTTTTTAACAATTTACCAAAATTATCTAATGCTTTTCAATCAAAAGTTTTTCTTGCGTTGAAGATGTTACCATAGTAAACAGTTTTAACCTTTACCTGTAATTAATCCGGATTTAATTATATTGGAATAAGGAGTATTGAGTTAAAATTTAGTTTAGTTGAAATGAAGTGAGATCGAACAGAATGTTTTCAATTTTATTATTATTACAACAAAAAAAAAAACAATATAAAAAATTATGTCATTTGTAAATTTTTATTTTAATAAATAAATTGCAATTTGTGTTTTAGAAATAAGGTAGATAAAGTTGATTTTCAAACTTTTCAATTAATATTTTAATTTTCTTCGTCAATGCATTCATGATAAAACGAATTTATTGCAAAATAAAAGTATAAAAATAAATATTTAAATCAATAATCTAACGTAAACGAAATTTTACATGTATTGTAATTTGAAACTTGACGTAATTTTATTTTCAATTCTTGAAAGGCGACTTGCAATTGTGATTATATTTGAGGTTTACGACCTCAAGTTTCAATTTAATATGATACTGTTTGATATCGAGTTGGTCAAGGTTGAGAACGAAGCCCAAACTAGTTTAATTTGATAATATATTATATATATATATATATATATATATATATATATAGGGGCACAAAGTTCCAATTTTACAAAATAATAGCATTCAACTCATGCAAAATATAAATTTTATGGGTACAGTTTTTACAGAGATAACACTGTATATAACCTTGATCTGATATTTTGTCAGAAATATTACTTAACTTATCTTTTGTAAAATTGCATTTTAGCTTTATTTATAATTTTTCATTGTTTACGATTTTTTCAGGGTAAAGGTTCAGTTGGTCCTTTTTACCCAACCTCTATGTTAAAAGTGACTATTGAATCTAACTTAAAATTAACAATACAACATAACTAGTAACTATACTATTAACTAATTAATTAACTATATTATTAACAATATAACTTATAAAACATTTAAATAATGTATACATAAAAACTAAATAAAGGTCTCGTAAACTAAATAACAGTGCTCACAATTAAATTCTAACAACCAAAGAAAGTACTTTTGTTATAGATTTTCAAACAGGTTTGTTTATCTGCTGATAGCATCGTTTCTTGATTCAAGTAAAAGGCTGATTAATATTACAAATCTTTTACCCTCTACTTTCAAATATTGTTGTTAACATTTGTTACAATCTTTACTTGTGTTTAAGATATTAGTGGTGGACATTTTATATACATATAAAACCCTCATATATATATATATATATATATATATATATATATTAACAAAGTCTAATAATCGGGCATAACATCAATAAAAAACAATGTTTTTTATTGATGTTATGCCCGATTATTAGACTTTGTTAATACATATGTCAACATCAAATTCAGAATCATATATATATAGATATATATATATATATATATAATAATTATATATATATATATATATATATATATTTTATTTTTATTTAATTATATTGAAAGAATGGCATTGGGTATATTCAAAAATAAATCTTATTGCCCTTACATCAGCATGGTCAAATTAAATTTGCGGATGAATAGTAAATCTATTTAAAATAAATCTGTTACAATATTATCAAGCAACACATTCGAAAACAGAATATATATAAATTTCACTTCTTGCATCGAAATAAAATTACAATAAAACATGGAATTCGATTTTTTCGGATATTCATGAAAACTCGTTGAAAATGTCAAAATAAATTCTCTTTTTGGCTGGAACAAAGGGATATCTATAAGACACTTCATCATTGAAGAACAGTAAAAATATATTGAAACAACATTGCGAATGCAAATTAGCTACCGACACGGTTGTCTGTCGTAGAATCGCCCTGGAGATTTGAACATGCAGACATATGGGGTGTTCACCTAATGTAGGAATGTCAATTTTATAACAAAAAATTTGAAAATTTATAAAGAAATGGTAAAATTTAACATAACTAGTGGTGTATGGCATCGTGCCTTCAGGCAAATTGCTGGAACTTTTCGTACCGTCATGAAATATTCCAAGAATATCAAATGTTTTCAAATATATTATTATAAATACTGTAACTTTTATTATTCGTATTTTATTGACAAAGTATAAAAGCTTATAAATTGGATAAAGACGTTTATATAAGTTTTGAAAAGTAAATTAATAGAACTTAATAAATTAGAATAAAGGATCTTGTCTCATATTTGGAAGATTAAAATTATTTCTTTCTAGTATATAAGTAAGCTTTAAAATTATAGCTAGAATTAAAATTAAATAAAAGTGAAATAAAAATAAAATTTCTACTCCTAAAAACAATATTTCTGTCAATACAAGTAAAGGTTTCTCAAAAACTGCCTGCTTTTGCATACTTAGCTTCGTTTCTTCAAAACGGATATACGTGTCTTTGCAAAAAAACTAATCACAATGTAACCCCATCATTATTAGAATGTTTTCTGAATCACACAAATCGGTTCTTTCTTGCTCTCAAAATCTCGATTTCTATTTTCTGCACTCTTTACTCCGTATCTCCGAAATGGTCTTTGCCAAAAACTAATCAGCACGTCCCTCCATCAGTAGGAATTGAATGTCATTGGAATTATTCAAATCGGTTGATGTGTGCACCCGAAAAAATTAATAACAATATAGCTTTAAAATATGTTCAATAAATTTATCAATTTATTGATTTATAACCCAAGTTAATTCACCTATCTTTTTCTCTAAATTTGGTTTGAACTTTTATTTATGTAATTTTGTTATGAATAACAAAATAATATAATTTTTAATATAAATTTAGGCCACTAAGTTCTTGTGAAAATTGATTAGTTCATGATATGTTTGGGATTAAAATCAATGTCTTTACGTTTAATTTTATAAGTTAATATTAGTTACACATAATTTTGTTATGACGAGCAAACTAATTTCAACAGTTTTGGTGATTTTATAACACACAGATGCTTAAATTATATATGAATTATATCTTGCGAAAAACAATGCATAACATTTGCTATTTATTTTAATGTTAATTTTAATTTTAAATTTAAATTTGTATAGTCTAAAACCATTATCATTTCTTTTTCTATATTACTATTGTACTACTATATATTATATTACCAATTCTATATCGCTGATATTTTCAATACAAATTGTTGATATATCTTAAATATTGATTGCATATATAGTTTCTTATAAAAAATTATTAATTATTAAATTTTCCAAGTAAAACCGCTTTATTCATATTTTAATTAAATTCTACGTCAATCTGATTTTCAGATATGATCAAAGAATATGAAAAATGCATAGATCTATTCTATGAAAAATAATAAGTGATTTCGTACATGAATTTACGTTCTTACAATATGTCTAATATATTATATGTGCAACAAATGTACAATAATTTTACTGCAAGGAACATAATTTCTTATTTGCTTTGATGATTTTTCTAATATATTTCAAAAAAATCTTCAAAAGAATTTTTTCAACAAATAATTACAAAGAAACGGCTTCAGTTCTTCACTAAAAACTAATCAGGGCGATTACCAACCAATTTTAAATTTTTAAAATCCCTACAAATTTGCGGGCCCAAACGCAAAAACTAGTGGTGTATAGCATCGTGCCTTAAGGCAAATTGCAGGAACTTCGCGTACCGTAATAAAGTATTCGAAGTTCGAATTCGAATAGATTATTATTAATACTGCAACTTATATATGTTTATAGAATAATAAATAAAACTCAATCGATCGAATTGATCATAAAGAACATTGTCTAATATTTTAAAAATTATATAAATTGAATTGCAAAATTAGATTATTTATTTGAAGTATGTAGGTGAGTTTTAGAACTTTAGCTAAAATTAAAATTAAAATTCGAACTATTTTCTATATGGTTGGACCTACCTTTGCCAAAAACTAATCAGCACATCTCCCTATCAATAGGAATCGATTGTTTTTTGAATTTTTCAAACCGATTCATCCATACGCCCAAAATCGTCGACGAAAAATTGTCTCCACACAAACACATAACAACACCCATTTTTCTGAGGTATGCCAAAATGTTCAGAAACCTCTGAAACGTAAAGATATGCAAAATTTCAATTTTCGTCCCATTGCTATAACTTACCCTACGGGAAGTGAAAAGTCACACTCTTCTGCTAATTACAAAGATACAGCTTGGCTGATTGTCGCACAAAACTGTTAAACGCGATTTTTTATTTCATTTAACACAATGACATGCATCCCCATCAGTCGCTTTCAGTTTTAAATTTTATTCAATAATTTCATATTCCACATAAGTTTCGTTTTTCCATTGAAACGTATCAGTTTCTCCGATTCTAAGTGGAACACCTTGTATACATTACAAGGTAAGATGTGAGTACTCACCTGCAGGGCAAATGCGAGATTGTAAAATGGAGTTGTGATAAATTGGAATGGGTTGTCAGTAGAAACAAATTTATTTCAGGCGTTCATAAGACAATTCTCGAGAGAATCAAGAGTGTGTATACGAGATATTGGAAATAATATCAGTCTTAATAAAAATGACATATGTTATATGATCAAATGCCTTTGCGCAATCGAGTCTAAGAAATATATGTTTATATTTTTTCAAATTATGTCCTGATTGTCAGAATGTCTACTGTGAATTGTTAATATCAGCATTATTAATTTCTCAGTATCTAGTAAATTTCTGAGCAATAGTTTGACCTTTTTCTTCATCATATTTTAAAGCAATCAGAACTTTACGTCCATTAAGCTGCAAATGTAAACTGAAATTAAAACTAAAAGTTGATACTGCTCGATATCGAATATGTTGTCCGTGATTGAGATTGCACCTCCGATTCGCTTGATTGCAAATCTGTGCGCTAACCACTCCTCCAGGAGACCTCCAAATTGACCTTTTGTGGTCGTTAATATCAAAAAACGGCCGATACGATCACATTTCAAAAGTTTTCAAGCCATTTGATAAAACTCTAAAGGGACTCACTTTGGTTAATTTTAAGCAACAATAAGCCCAGGATGCTTTTTTATTATTACCACACAAGTGCCAATATTTCGTCTATTTTGAAAATATTATTGCCACTATTTTAAAAGTTGCTCAATTCCAATCATTTTCAATCAAGTCTATTATTTACACATATAAAGTTATGAAGAAGTAGTTTCAATATCCGTAATTTTAATTTAGTTATATAGAACAAAGATGTAGGATTTTTCGAGATTTATATTCAATTCAAGGATAAAATTTTAAAGCAGGATAGTGCTTAGTGATAGATACAAAGCAAAT